CATGAGGTTTGGGAGGGGCCGGGGCAGAATGGTATTGTTTGACTCTGTATCCCCACCCAAATCTCATGTCAGATTGTAATTGTATTAACATAGGTAGGGGTCTAGTTGTGTTCTTCATATGATCACACTTAAACTTTATTTTTATTTTTTATTTTTATTTTTTTTGAGACGGAGTGTTGCTCAGTCGCCCAGGCTGGAGTGCGGTGGCGCGATCTCGGCTCACTGCAAGCTCCGCCTCGCCATTCTCCTGCCTCAGCCTCCCGAGTAGCTGGGACTACAGGCGCCCGCCACTACGCCCGGCTAGTTTTTTGTATTTTTAGCAGAGACGGGGTTTCACCGTGTTAGCCAGGATGGTATCGATCTCCTGACCTCGTGATCTGCCCGTCTCGGCCTCCCAAAGTGCTGGGATTACAGGCTTGAGCCACCGCACCCGGCCAAACTTTATTTTTTTTATTTTTTTTTTTTGAGACGGAGTCTTGCTCTGTCACCCAGGCTGGAGTGCAGTGGCCGGATCTCAGCTCACTGCAAGCTCCGCCTCCCGGGTTCACGCCATTCTCCTGCCTCAGCCTCCCAAGTAGCTGGGACTACAGGCGCCCGCCACCTCACCCGGCTAGTTTTTTGTATTTTTTAGTAGAGACGGGGTTTCACCGTGTTAGCCAGGACGGTCTCGATCTCCTGACCTCGTGATCCGCCCGTCTCGGCCTCCCAAAGTGCTGGGATTACAGGCTTGAGCCACCGCGCCCGGCCCAAACTTTATTTTTAAAACAAAGAAAGATCCAATTTTTAATGATAAATTATTTTGCTTCTAATTTTTTAGTTTGGAGAACCTCTACTATATTTATAATATTTTAGAATTCATGATATCCTAATACATGAGATAATTTAAATACTTTATAATATTTCAAGTATCATTTTGTCTTATTATGAAAATTGCTAATAAATTTTTTTCTGGTTATCACAAAACTATCTGAAAATGTCACATTTGCCACTTATCAAATCTTCATAGTTAATAATACTTTACCTGAATGGGGGATTGTAATATGTATTATAATTTTTCATGTTGTCTTAATGTTTTATTATTTTATTTTATTTAAAAAAGCTAAACTTATAAAATTGGTTGTATATTAGTTTAGGTGAAATTGTTTAGTGATGAGAGAAAAATAATTTGCAAAATATAGAGACTAGATAATTTTTTATAATAAAAATGTTCTTTATGTTTGGCCCTTACCCTTTTTTGTTGAGATGAAATTTTTGCTCTTGTTGCCCAGGCTGGAGAGCAGTGGCACAATCTTGGCTTACCACAACCTCCACCTCCCAGGTTCAAGCGATTCTCTTGCCTTGGCCCCCTGAGTAGCTGGGATTACAGGCATGTGCCACCACGTGTGGCTAATTTTGTATTTTTAGTAGACACGGGGTTTCTCCATGTTGGTCAGGCTGGTCTTGAACTCCTGACCTCAGGTGATCCACCCGCCTCGGCCTCCCAAAGCGCTGGGATTACAGGGGTGAGCCACTGCGCCCAGCTGCCCTTACCATTTTCTTTGAAAGTTGAAGTTGTAACTCTCTAATTAGAAAATATATTCATAAATGTGACTTGTAAATATTGAAATTTATGTTTGCTTTTTCTTCCATTTAGTAGAAACGTTTTCTAGCATCTACGTTTTTTCAAAATAAAAGCAAGGATGGAATCAGAATAGGTTGAAAACGTATTAACAAAATGATGTTGACAGAGATGATCTATCTGGTCTACCAGGGCATAAGAATTTCAAAAATCATAATCAGTAGAAAACCTCTATGTTCATTAATATTACAGAATATTGCTTGTGTTAAAATCATTTATGTTGGGCTAGCACAGTGGCTCACCCCTGTAATCCCAGCACTTTGGGAGGCCGAGGGAGGCAGATCACGAGGTCAATAAATCGAGACCATCCTGGCCAACATGGTGAAACCCCGTTTCTACTAAAAATACAAAAAAAAAAAAAAAAAAAATTAGCTGGGCGTGGTAGCGCGCCTGTAGTTCCAGCTACTCTGGAGACTGAGGCAGGAGAATCGCTTGAATCTGGGAGGCAGAGGTTGTGGTGAGCCGAGATGGCGCCACTGCACTGCAGCCTGGGTGTCTGCCTCTCATGCACTCATGCATTTAGTAGAGATAAAGTCAGAGGGCAGAGGCCTCCGCTGATCCTTATCAGGACACCTGAAGTACAAATGATATATTTCTGTTTTCTCTCAAACTCCGTATTGGATACAGTTACTCTGCTTCTAATCAATATTATTACAGTAATGCACAGACACGGGATCATAAAAGAACTTGCAAGCTTATATTTTGCACGTGTGTGCATGAATTTGTAGACAGCTCTGTCATCTTGGCCAGAGTGTAGTGTCACAATTATAGCTCAATCAAACCTCAAAATTCTTAGCTGTCAGCCTCCTAGTAACTGGGACTTCAGGTACACACCATTACAGTGGCTAATTAAAATTGTTTTCTGTAGAAATAGGCTTTTATTATGTTGCCCAGGCAGCTTTTTTTTTTTTTTTTTTTTTTTTTTGAGACGGAGTCTCCCTCTGTAACCAGGCTGGAGTGCAATGGCGCGATCTCAGCTCACTGCAACCTCCACCTCCCGGGCTCAAAGGATCCTCCTGCCTCAGCCTCCCGAGTAGCTGGGACTACAGGCGCGCACCATCACACCCAGCCAAGTTTTCGCATTTTTGGTAGAGACGGGGTTTCACCTTGTTAGCCAGGATAGTCTTGGACTCCTGACCTCGTGATCCGCCCACCTCCGCCTCCCAAAGTGCTGGGATTGCAGGCGTGAGCCACGGCGCCAGGGCAATTCTATTTTCTTCTTTGATCTTTTGTGGTGCTTTTACAATTTTACATCTACATATTATAAATCCAATAACAGAGAGTCATAATTGTTGCTTTTAATAGTGATAGGTTGCTTTAAAAATGAAGGGTAAAATTTAGTCAGATACTTTGGTGCTATGCAAATACAGTGCTTATTTTTTAAGTGTTATTTACAATTTTTACACTCTTCAGTTAACCTTGAATACAATAACAACTGTGGTGGTTTTGTGATGATTTCTTTCTTTTTTTTTTTTTTAGACAGAGTCTCGCTGTGTCGCCCAGGCTGGAGTGCAGTGGCGCGATCTCAGCTCACTGCAAACTCCGCCTCCCTGGTTCACGCCATTCTCCCGCCTCAGCCTCCGAGTAGCTGGGACTACAGGCGCCCGCCACCACCCCCAGCTAGTTTTTTGTATTTTTAGTAGAGACAGGGTTTCACCATGTTAGCCAGGATGGTCTCGATCTCCTGACCTCGTGATCCACCCGCCTCGGCCTCCCAAAGTGCTGGGATTACAGGCTTGAGCCACCGCGCCTGGCCTTGTGATGATTTCTTCAGCATTTTATCTATGTTGATTAGTATTTGGAATTCTGTAAAAAGTTTTTCCTTATTCTTTTTTCTTTTTTATTTATTTAAAGTTTTTCGTATCAGTGTAAATGCATGGGTATTTATTTTATTTGACTTGATTTATTTTAAGGTCAGTGCTCTAATTATGCATTTGGATGCTTACATTGTTCCAGTTTGGACCATTGGAAATTCTTTCAGGCTGGCTCCCTTTGACATGTTCCCATCATTTTCAAAAATAACTTAAAAAAAAAAAATGTTGAGGCTGAGCGTGGTGGCTCACGCCTATAATCTCAACACTTTGGGAGGCCGAAGCAGGCAGATCACCTGAGGTCAGGAGTTCAGGACCAGCCTGGCCAACGTGGTGAAACCTCGTCTCTACTAAAAACACAAAAAATTAGCCGAGCATGGTGGCGCGCTCCTGTGATCTCATCCAGCAGTGCTTTACCTGTGATTATTTTACTCCTGTAGAGGACTACGTGCTCGCAAACCAGACGTTCTGGATAAGTCCTGCTCTGGCAAAGGAAGCAGGGCATTCCGGATAAGTCCTGCTCTTGCAAACAGGGCGTTCCTTCCCTGCACAGGGAGGACAAAGGAGCCAGCTGCTAACAGCAGACCCTGGGGGCTTGTTTATGTGTAAACATCTCGAAAATCCAGAAAGGGAAAGGTCAGAAAAACAACAATGTGTCTTGTGACTTGGCAACATTCCACAAACCACTGTATAAAATAAAGCAGAGCCCGCCATTGGAGGCGGCCGCCATGTTTGTCTTGTCTTGTGTTGTTGTCCTGTGTGCTCATTCCTTTGTTTGGGAACCACGCGGACCCCAACAACTCCTGCTGCCTTCTCCTCTTTCTATGGCCACTATTTGTTCCACCTTCGGAACTGAAGAGAGATGTTGGTAGGGAGAGGCTCTTCCTTCACCTCTGACAGTAAAGGTTTGCTGGGGCCCTTCACATCGCTGACATCAGAGCTGCACTTCAATGTGGCAGCTGTTGGCCATGTGTGGCGCCTTAAGTGCGATGTGCTAGAAGGGTAAAATAGAGAGTTAGTTTCAAAGATTTAGTTCCAAATATTTATATGCTTTATTAATAATTACATATTTCTCACATATTAAAATGAAAATTTCTTGACTTATTGGGTTAAATTGTTACAATCAATTCAACCTGTTCTTGTTTTTTTCAAGTTTGGCTACTAGAAAATTTAAAATTCACATATGGCCCACATTTTATTTCAGAGGATTACCTCCTTTCTAAAATCTCAGCCTGCCTGCTCAAAGACCAAAAGCCAGGAAGGTCATAAAATCTGAAATTTTAAAATAATTATTATAAAATTATATTTTTTCCTTTGTGAATAGCCATATAATATATTATTTATAAATGCATATAACTTTACACACAAGTTTAAAGGCAAATACCCTCTGGGGTGGGCCTGGCTCAGCTCTGGGAGGAAGCCCTGCCTGAGAAGGCTGCAGTCTAGGTAGGCTGTCACCCTTTCTTCACTCAGCCCAGCATCTGATCACATTTTCTGTCACTCAGGGCATGAGAGGGTGGGGTTTTAAACCTTATCCAATCAGCGACGCTGGGTTGGGTACCGTCCAATCAGGCATGCAGCTGGAGCGGACAGGACGGCTTCCCGGATGTGGCGGGGTCTTTGTCTGTCGCTGCAGCTGGAGCTCCAGGTCTCTCCTTCACTGCACTGTGTACTCCGCTCCCAGAGGCCCAGCCTCTGTGGCCCTGTGACCTGCAGTTATTGGGAGATCCACAGCTAAGATGCGAGGATCCCCTGGAAGCCTAGAAATGGTGAGAGTGCCGGGGCCGACGTCCCGAGAGAGGGGAAGGGGCGGGTTGTAACCGGTGGGAAGTGGCTGTGGCGGGACTTGGTCCTCCCGGCAGTCAGCTTCACAGTCTGCGTCCCGAGTTCTCCTTGCTCAGCTCGGCCTCAGTCCCCTTCAGCTATAAGATGGCGGCTGCCCTGACTGCGGGACCCCGGGCGTGCTGTCTTTTTCCTGCCTAGTGGCTGGGCCCTGACCTGGAGCCCTCTCAGGGCAGCTGTGAACCCGCAGCGCCGAGTCTCACCCGGATTGTGCAGGGGCCACTGGAGGGTCCCCGGGGGAGAATCCTGACTCGGGGTGCGGGTTTAAGAATGGGAAGAGCTTTGGTCCGTGGGGTTCCCAGTTCCTCTTTTCTTCTGTTGAAAATGTATAGGAGTCACCGTAAAAACACTAAAGTGTTTAATCAAGGAGTGATTCAAAAATTGTGGAGCAGCCAGCTGTGGTTTGTAATTTGTGGTTCATGGGCGGGGCTTGAAGGAAAGACTTATAAACAGCATGATGAAGAAAACCAAATTCAGTAATTGGTTAGGTTCAGATACATAGTTTTCTTAATTTGTAAAATAAAGGTGAAAATTTCCTGGTTATGTAATTAGCTGTTAACTGACAGTTTATAGTTGGTTAAGGCTGAATTTTGTTTCTCTCAATGTAGTAATTTACTACAAATGCACTTCAGTTAGTTTTTTTTTTTTTTTTTTTTTTTTTTTGAGAAGACTTTTCGCTCTTGTTGCCCAGGCTGGAGTGCAATGGGGCGATCTTGGCTCACCTCTGCCTCCTGGGTTCAAGTGATCCCCCTGCCTCAGCCCCTTAGCCTCCCAAGTAGCTGGGATTACAGGCATGAGCCACCACGCCCGGCTAATTGTGTATTTTTAGTAGAGACGGGCTTCTCCATGTTGGTCAGGCTGGTCTCCAACTCCTGACCTCAGGTGATCCGCCCGCCACGGCCTCCCAAAGTGCTGGGATTACAGGCCTGAGCCCACCGCACCTGGCCAGATTTTTTTAAAAGTAGGAATCCAGAGACTAGAGACACCTCAGTCTAATATCCTGCTTTATTTATTTTCACACTCCGTGGGGAACTGATTTTCTGGTGCGTTTTTCTTTCTTTTTTTTTTTTTCCTTTTTTTTTTTTTTTTTTTTGAGACGGAGTCTCCCTCTGTCGCCCAGGCTGGAGTGCAGTGGCCGGATCTCGGCTCACTGCAAGCTCCACCTCCCGGGTTCACGCCATTCTCCTGCCTCAGCCTCCCGAGTAGCTGGGACTACAGGCACCCGCCACCTCGCCCAACTAGTTTTTTGCATTTTTTTAGTAGAGACGGGGTTTCACCGTGTTAGCCAGGATGGTCTCGATCTCCTGACCTCGTGATCCACCCGCCTCGGCCTCCCAAAGTGCTGGGATTACAGGCTTGAGCCACCGCGCCCGGCCTCTGGTGCGTTTTTCAACTGTGTCCCAAGCAGTGTCTTAAATCTAACCCCCCCTCCACCATATCTCCAGCCTCACTCTGGCTTGCAGTAAGATATTAAATTTCCAGTTCCTGAGTAGCTGGGACTACAGGCACCCGCCACCTCGCCCAACTAGTTTTTTGCATTTTTTTAGTAGAGACGGGGTTTCACCGTGTTAGCCAGGATGGTCTCGATCTCCTGACCTCGTGATCCACCCGCCTCGGCCTCCCAAAGTGCTGGGATTACAGGCTTGAGCCACCGCGCCCGGCCTCTGGTGCGTTTTTCAACTGTGTCCCAAGCAGTGTCTTAAATCTAACCCCCCCTCCACCATATCTCCAGCCTCACTCTGGCTTGCAGTAAGATATTAAATTTCCAGTTCCTCCTGGCGTTCCCAAATGCCAGATTTTCCTCCCTAAGTCACGTTATCAACTATTTTGTCTTTTAGTGTACTTTTCTATACCGTATTTTAATTAATTATTGTTTGACAAAGCATTAAATGACGCTTTTAAAAAGGTTTGTTATCTGTTTGTAACTATTTCCCATGAGAAGAAAGCAAAGAATAATCCTCTGACACTGTACTGTAAAAGCTCTCTGTGCCTCTTCTCCTTGTATCTTCTCTAGGCACAGAGATCTTATCAGAATGTTTTTGGGTCAAGGTATTCCTTTGAAAACTTTATGAGGTGATGTGTTCTCAGCCACCCTTTAGTTTTTTTCTGGTCGTGAGTTTCAGTACTGTCTGGGGATAAACCAAGGTATCCACTGTGGTTATGTCAGCTAAAGTGCCTAGTGAATATCAGGTCCTGATTTATTTTCTTCCATAGGAAGATCAGGGGTCTGAAGTGTATCCTCTCAAGGGAGCAAGTGGATCCGTTGGGGCAGAGAGGAAGCTTCTCGTGCACTCTTATTTTGAAAAGGTAATCAGATGCTGGTACTGAGGGGAAAACACAGAAATAACTTCTGCCTCCTGGATTGTCTAAGGGGGCAGAAATATAATGAAATAAATATAGTGAAAGAAAAAATAGTGTTAAAAAGCAAAAAAATTTGTGACAGAAAAAATAGTGTCCCAAAAGACCCAAAACAAACCAACCAAACAAAAACCTCACTCCAGTGAGACGGTGTAAGAACTTGCAAAGTAAAATGCACCTGGGACAGTCACCGAGAAATGGTGCAGTGTCTCCTGAATGGGTCGTTCTTGGGCACATAAGTGAGCAGGAGTGGGTGGAAGAATCTCTCAAGTGATTGAATGGCCTGACTTGAAACACGAGTCACACACTCTGTTATTTAACCAGCACTGGCACTTCTGGATTTATCACCTTGAAGAGATTTGTTCACTTATTTTGACCTCAGTTTTTTAGCCATAAATTTCATTATATTAGTAGTGCTTGAAAGGTAGGACAATTTTTTTTTTTTTTGAGACAGAGTTTCACTCTTGTTGCCCAGGCTGGAGTGCAGTGGCACGATCTCGGCTCACTGCAACCTCCACCTCCTGGGTTCAAGTGATTCTCCTGCCTCAGCCTCCTGAGTAGCTGGGATTACAGGTGCATGCCACCACGCCTGGCTAATTTTTGTATTTTTTAAATAGAGACAGGGTTTCACCATGTTGGCCAGGTTGGTCTCAAACTCCTGACCTCAGATGATCTGCCCGCCTCTGCCTCCCAAAGTTCTGGGATAACAGGCGTGAGCCATCACTCCCGGCCAGCAGGAAAATATTTACAAAGGGCATAAAAGAGATGGGTTTTAGAAAAAAAATTAATGTCTAATTATATATTCCATTTGTTAAAAATTCTCATTTACCTTTTTCTTTCCCAGAGTGAGTTTAAAAGTTTTCTCAGGTGTGTATTTTTTATGGGTAAGTGAATTGAAACAGAATTTCAAGGCTTAGATTTTAGAATGCTAGCTACCGAAGAAAAGAATAGGGAAAATATTCTGTTTTGGCTGTAGAAAATGAATATGTGTCCATGAGAAAATGTAGATAACTGGTGAGTTACATAGATTCATGAAAACATCAGTTGCTCTTTTTGCAGGGTAAATTTGTGACAGTGAATATTTCTGTTCAAATCCTGTTATCTTGATTTCTGAATTTCATGCTAAATTTTATAAGATGAAACTTGGTACCACCTAGAAGTGTTCCCATATGACTAATTGTTCACTACATGATTTTTAATGAAAACAATAAAATAATAGATATATTTTTCTTAAAGGAGTAGATACTTTTGCTTTTCTTATTGCGGTATAAAATGTAAGTACCTTAAAATTTCCTTCCCTTATGTGAACACTGTGAGTAATTTTGCTGGATTTTTCAAACACGTAGTTTCAAAAACCAAGTGAGTAACTCTAACATGGAAATTAAAGCCTGAGTCCAGTGTCTCAGAGCTAAGGCTAATATTGAGCCTACAAAAGGTGGTTATTAAAGGACCAGCTAGTTTATTTCTGGGGATCCTCCCCTGCAGATGTCCAGCCTACTCACCTCGGCCATGGAAGAAGCCTTTCTGCTAACAGAGCCCTGGAAAGTTGGGGACCCACAGGCAAATGCAGTTAAGGTTAAGATGAAAGGGGACTGAGAGGGTCTTACTGATGATGAAGTGTTATTGTTTTGAGGCAGTTTCTAGGCTTTGGAATATCAAACAAAGTTAGGTTTATGTAAAAAAAAAAAAAAAATTGAATTCCAAAGGAGTATTGCCACAGGAAAAAGTACCAACTATAAAAACTTTAAGGATTGCATAGTTTAGGCAAAAAAGGGGTTTCTTTCCTAGGGAGAAGCAAACAAGATTAGAAAGAAAGTGGGAGGGGAGGCCGGGCGCGGTGGCTCAAGCCTGTAATCCCAGCACTTTGGGAGGCCGAGACGGGTGGATCACGAGGTCAGGAGATCGAGACCATCCTGGCTAACCTGGTGAAACCCCGTCTCTACTAAAAAAAAAAAAAAACAAAAAAACTAGCCGGGCGAGGTGGCGGGCGCCTGTAGTCCCAGCTACTCGAGAGGCTGAGGCAGGAGAATGGCATAAACCTGGGAGGCGGAGCTTGCAGTGAGCTGAGATCCGGCCACGGCACTCCAGCCTGGGTGACAGAGCGAGACTCCGTCTCAAAAAAAAAAAAAAAAAAAGAAAAGAAAGTGGGAGGGGAATGGCAAATGAAGGGTGAAAAATCAGATTTTAAATCAGAGAATGTTTTTTAAATCAGAGAATGTTTTACCGTGAAGTCAGCATGTTCTTAGAAGAGACATAAAATGAGGTTTTATGTTGACTCAGACTGAGAATAGTTTAAAGTTCTGGGGCCTGTGAAAAATTTTATTTAGACCACTGAAGACAAATTCAGCTGAATCTTTTAATGGGAAAAAGAAGAAAATGTGCAGAGTTCTTAATAGAACAAGGTCTCAATTCAAGCCCCACAAGAGGATTCTTGAATTTGCTCAAGAAAAAATTCAGGGTGAGTCCACACAGTAAAGTAAAAGGGAGTTTATTGAGAAAGTAAAGGAATAAAAGAATGGCTTACTCATAAGCAGAGCAGCTCCGAGGGCTGCTGGTTGCACATTTTTATGTTTATTTCTTGATTATATGCTAAACAAGGGGTGGAATATTTATGCCTCTCAATTTTAGACCACATACAGTAACTTCCTGATGTTTTCATGGCATTTGTAAACTGTCATGACACTGGTAGGAGTGTAGCAGTGAGGGCGATCATAGGTCACTGTCATCACATCTTGGTTTTGGTGGGTTTTATTTGACTTCTTTACTGCAACCTGTTTTATCCACAAGGTCTTTACGACTTGTATGTTGTGCTGACCTTCTGTCCATCCTACTTAGAATGCCTAACCATTCAGGAATGCAGCCCAGTCAGTCTCAGCCCTATTTTACCCAGCCCCTATTCAAAATAGATTTGCTTTCGTTCCATATGCCTCTGACATCTCCTCGTTCTTTTCCACAAGGGCATCCTTAATCCTAAGGGTTGTAGAGGGATGAAGATTCATTTTCTGTAACTACTTCATGCTGAATGGGGTGATGATATTTTTGCCTAACTAGTCAGAGTTTTCTTGACCTTGGAAAACAAAACAAAGGATCAGTGACATTTTATGCAAAGTCAAAAAATATTACTTCAGTCTTCTATTAGTTCACTCCATTCAGTTAATTCCTATTCTGTTTCATAGTCATGAACATTTCAGTTCTCCATGAATACTGAAAGTTTTTTCTCTAATGTCACAATTTCTAAAGTTACAACAGACTTGCATTTAAGAACATCTGTCACAGTCTTTTTTTTTTTTTTTTTTTTGAGACGGAGTCTCGCTCTGTCGCCCAGGCTGGAGTGCAGTGGCCGGATCTCAGCTCACTGCAAGCTCCGCCTCCTGGGTTTACGCCATTCTCCAGCCTCAGCCTCCCGAGTAGCTGGGACTACAGGTACCCGCCACCTCGCCCGGCTACTTTTTTGTATTTTTTTTTTTTTAGTAGAGATGGGGTTTCACCGTGTTAGCCAGGATGGTCTCGATCTCCTGACCTCGTGATCCGCCCGTCTCGGCCTCCCAAAGTGCTGGGATTACAGGCTTGAGCCACCGCGCCCGGCCAGTCACAGTCTTAAGTTAACTATGAATCATCTTTTGAAGAGGATCAACATAAGATGATTGTCTGGATGGAAAAGTCTTAGAGCAGTCACAGTAAAAAAAAAAACAAAAACATGATTGACAGGGAAATTTGGTTAGCTCTGTGGCATACAATAATTTTATGTAACAATTGTGATTATTAATGATATACATGTAGTCATTAGAATTACAGGAGTTTCCCATAATTTTGAAACACATACCAATAACATATTTACACAAACAGTCCAAAAATAGTCAAACATGATTTCACATTTGACAATGTTTTCTGTGTGATTTTTATACTAAATGAGCCAAATTTTACTGTTATATTTGTGTATTATTGATGTCAAACCCAATTCTTAATCTTTATAGAAAAATATGTCCAATTTTCGTATTTGACCATAAGGTAATACTCTCATAGACCTTCTATAACTCTTCACAAAGTCCTTGTTGTTAAAGAGTAGATGAGTGCTTTAAGAGAAACCTATTGTTTTTATCTCAGTGTTCAATTTCTGGAAAAACTGAATAATACCCATTTAACTTTAGTCAGTATGTTCACACACAGAATCTTTTGCAATTAAATTTTAGCAGGTCTTCCACAATTTGTTTAAACCTTCAGTTTTATTCTAATTTAAAACAATCCTTTAACCTTTTAATCTAGGCAAAAAATCCACATTTCCATGTCTTATAATCTTTTATCAAAAATACATTTCACTTTCTCTGCATACCTTGCATGTAAAACTGTTTTTTAGTAGTCAGAGTTACATGTTACAATGTTAACTCTTAGCAACTTTTACTTTTGATGAAACCCTTGGTAAGTAAGGGATTTTAATTACATACTAGGCGTGGAGTCTAGGACACAGACACAAGTATATATAAGGTCTGACTCCAGTGTATTAATAGTTAGGGGGTGTGGCTAACTTGATGTGTCCCAGGCCTTATCTAGCTGTAAAGCAGGCAAGTTATACAGTGAACAGTCATAGTGGCATTTTGAGAAGTCTTTCAGAGGCCTAATAACCTTTAAATTGTACAACATTTCTTGCATAAATTTCCTTTAGTGAATTATTTCATGACTTATACAGACCATCTACAATATGTTTGGGCTTTCTGATTTGTCCTAAACATCCCTCTTTTAAAATAACCAGTCATTTTAGGATAATAATTTACTATACAACATCTTTTCTTATATAAAATCTCTTTTCTTTATAACCTTTGTACATTTAGGGGGCATGGCTAATTCCGTATGTCCCAAGACCTTATTTAGAATCTACTGGCCTCAAGATAGGTAAATTGAACAATTTTTAAAAGTCAAAGAACCAATTTATGACCTTTAAGTATTTGGCAAAT